GTGTCACTGTCCCCATCCCAGGTGGCCCCAGGGCAGCTGCTGGACCCTGCCATGCCCACCCCTGTGCCAGCCCGTGCCAGCCCTGTGCCAGTCCCGTGCCAGTCTGTGCCAGTCCATGCCAGCCTGTGCCAGCCCCGTGCCAGCCTGTGCTAGCCTCTGCCAGCCCCATGCCAGCCTGTGCCAGCCCTGCGCCAGCTTGTGCCAGCCCTGTGCCATCCCTGTGCCATCCCTGTGCCAGCCCCGTGCCAGCCTGTGCCAGTCCCGTGCCAGCCTGTGCCAGTTCCGTGCCAGCCCGTGCCAGTCCCGTGCCAGCTTGTGCCAGCCCCGTGCCAGCCCTGTGCCAGCCCCATGCCAGCCTGTGCCCTCCCACCCCGTGCCAGCCCTGTGCCAGCCCCATGCCAGCTTGTGCCAGCCCCGTGCCAGCCTGTGCCAGCTTGTGCCAGCCCCGTGCCAGCCCTGTGCCAGCCCCATGCCAGCCTGTGCCAGCCCTGTGCCAGCCCCGTGCCAGCCCCGTGCCAGTCCTGTGCCAGTCTGTGCCAGCCTGTGCCATCCCTGTGCCAGCCCCATGCCAGCCTGTGCCAGCCTGTGCCAGCCCCAGGGTGGCTGGTAGAGCTCAGGGCCAGGCTCTGCAGGGAGCACAGCGCTGCCAGATCACCTGAAATGTTTTTTTATCTCGGGGGGTTCATTGTGAGCCCTTTCTCTCCTTTTCAAGGAGCTCAGCCTTGTCAGAAGGGCCAGATCACCTGAAATGGTGTTTTTAGCTCAGGGTGTTTTGTGTGAACCTTCTCCATACCCCTACAAAGAGCACAGCACTGCCAGGAGGGACAGATCACCCAGAATGATGTTTTTAGCTCAAGGGATTGTGTGTGAGCCCTGTCCCTGCTCTGCAAGGAGCTCAGCACTGCCAGGAGGGGCCACATCACCTGGAAAGGTGTTTTTAGCTCAAGGGATTGTGTGGGAGCCCTCTCCACACCCCTACAAAGAGCACAGCACTGCCAGAATCCCCCAGAATGATGTTTGTAGCTCACGGGGTTCAGTGTGAGCCCCCTCCCTCCTTTTCAAAGAGCTCAGCACTGCCAGGAGGGACAGATCACCTGGAAAGGTGTTTTTATCTCAGGGGTTCAGTGTGAGCCCCCTCCCTCCTTTTCAAGGAGCACAGCACTGCCAGGAGGGGCCACATCACCTGGAAAGGTGTTTGTAGCTCAGGGAATTGTGTGTGAGCCCTCATATTTAATTTCAGATTTCATCTCAGATTTCACATTTGATTCCCTGCCCTGCCCTGGCTGCTCCTGCTGGGCTGGCACTGCTGCCAGGAGGGCACAGCCTGTCCCCACGCTGTCCCCGAGACCCCCAGCCCCCCGGGGCCCTGCTGTCCCCTCAGTGTCACTGTCCCCATCCCAGGTGGCCCCAGGGCAGCTGCTGGACCCTGCCATGCCCACCCCTGTGCCAGCCCGTGCCAGCCCTGTGCCAGTCCCGTGCCAGTCTGTGCCAGTCCATGCCAGCCTGTGCCAGCCCCGTGCCAGCCTGTGCTAGCCTCTGCCAGCCCCATGCCAGCCTGTGCCAGCCCTGCGCCAGCTTGTGCCAGCCCTGTGCCATCCCTGTGCCATCCCTGTGCCAGCCCCCAGAATGATGTTTTTAGCTCAAGGGATTGTGTGTGAGCCCTGTCCCTGCTCTGCAAGGAGCTCAGCACTGCCAGGAGGGGCCACATCACCTGGAAAGGTGTTTTTAGCTCAAGGGATTGTGTGGGAGCCCTCTCCACACCCCTACAAAGAGCACAGCACTGCCAGGAAGGACAGATCACCTGAAATGATGTTTTTATCTCAGGGGGTTCATTGTGAGCCCCCTCCCTCCTTTTCAAGGAGCTCAGCACTGCCAGGAAGGACAGATCACCTGGAAAGGTGTTTGTAGCTCAGGGAATTGTGTGTGAGCCCTCTCCAGACCCCTACAAAGAGCACAGCACTGCCAGAATCCCCCAGAATGATGTTTGTAACTCAGGGGGTTCAGTGTGAGCCCCCTCCCTCCTTTTCAAGGAGCACAGCACTGCCAGGAGGGGCCACATCACCTGGAAAGGTGTTTGTAGCTCAGGGAATTGTGTGTGAGCCCTGTCCACATCCCTGCAGGGAGCACAGCACTGCCAGGAAGGACAGATCACCTGGAAAGGTGTTTTTAGCTCCAGGGATTGTGTGGGAGCCCTCTCCAGACCCCTTCAAAGAGCACAGCACTGCCAGGAAGGTGTTTTTAACTCAGGGGTTCTGTGTGAGCCCCCTCCCTTCTTTTCAAGGAGCTCAGCACTGCCAGGAAGGGCAGATCACCTGAAATGGTGTTTGTAGCTCAGGGGGTTCTGTGTGAGCCCTCTCACCCCCCTGCAGGGAGCTCAGCACTGCCAGGAAGGACAGATCACCTGGAAAGGTGATTTTAGCTCAGGGGTTCAGTGTGAGCCCCCTCCCTCCTTTTCAAGGAGCTCAGCACTGCCAGGAAGGGCAGATCACCTGAAATGGTGTTTGTAGCTCAGGGGGTTCTGTGTGAGCCCTCTCACCCCCCTGCAGGGAGCTCAGCACTGCCAGGAAGGACAGATCACCTGGAAAGGTGATTTTAGCTCAGGGGTTCAGTGTGAGCCCCCTCCCTCCTTTTCAAGGAGCTCAGCACTGCCAGGAAGGACAGATCACCTGAAATGGTGTTTGTAGCTCAGGGGGTTCTGTGTGAGCCCTCTCACACCCCTGCAGGGAGCTCAGCACTGCCAGGAAGGACAGATCACCTGGAAAGGTGTTTTTATCTCAGGGGTTCAGTGTGAGCCCCCTCCCTCCTTTTCAAAGAGCTCAGCACTGCCAGGAAGGACAGATCACCTGAAATGGTGTTTGTAGCTCAGGGGGTCCTGTGTGAGCCCTCTCACCCCCCTGCAGGGAGCTCAGCACTGCCAGGAAGGACAGATCACCTGAAATGGTGTTTGTAGCTCAGGGGGTCCTGTGTGAGCCCTCTCACCCCCCTGCAGGGAGCTCAGCACTGCCAGGAAGGACAGATCACCTGAAATGGTGTTTGTAGCTCAGGGGGTCCTGTGTGAGCCCTCTCACCCCCCTGCAGGGAGCTCAGCACTGCCAGGAAGGACAGATCACCTCGCAAGGTGATTTTATCTCAGGGGTTCAGTGTGAGCCCCCTCCCTCCCCTGCTGCTGGGACCCCCTGGGCTCTCTCCCTGCATCCTCCTCCCTCCCAGCTCTGGGTTTGTCTCCCCCTTTGCTCCTGGCAGAGCTGGGGGGGCTCACCTGGACAGGGGCAGGACCCAGGGAGCGCTCCGATTAGCAGTGTTAATTGCTGCTAATTAGCAGTAATTAACAGTAAACACAGGTGATTAGCAGGCGGGTGCTGACCTGTTGGACCCGGGCAGACCCAGGCGCTGTCCCCTCTCCTGTCCCCCGTGTCACTCGGGGCTCTGTCCCGTTCCAGGTGGTTTTGGGATGGGTTTGGGCACCGTTCCAGCCGGGGCTCCTGGCCCAGCCCTGGCAGGGACATTTCCCTCTGTGCCAGGGTGCTGCCAGCTCCCTCATGACACAGTGGCACATCTAGCCTGTGTCCCCAAAATAAGGAAAGAAGCCCAGAAGTTTCTCTCAAGGATTAGATGAAAAGCCACCTCACAGGACCTCGGGGATTTCACCAAAAACTAGAGAACATCTTATTAGATAGAAGCCAAAAAGTCCCACCTGAGCCATCAGGTAGAAAAGAACAAAAGAGCCAAAGTGCTTTTGTGAGGTGTTTTTTACCAGGAGCAGAGCTCTGTTTGTTATTTTGCCTTTTGTTAAACCTCTTTTGTTTCTAACACTGCAGCAGAAGCCATCCTGCTTATTTTATGTCCCCAGAGTAATAGCTGAGCTCTCCTTGGGTGTGTTATATTTCTTTTGAGAGCTTATGAGACCTGGCCCAAGGAAAAGAAAGTTAACTCAGGTGTGTCAGCCCTGGAGCTGAGGAGCGAAGTGAGCCCCTGTCCTGGCTGTAAGCCAGGCTGGTTTTAATTAAACCTGGGCCCAAACCAAATTATTCTCCTACATCCCACTGGAGCCTGTGAATCCTGAGAAAAAGCTGCAGGGAAGGAGGTCTGGAAGGAATGGAAAGGGAATTGTGAGGAGAATTCCAGGGGCTCTTCCCTCTGCCCTCGCTGTCCCTGTGCCCTGCACACCCTCCTGGAACCCTGGGCACCTCTGAGCTGCTTTTGGGGTGTCCTGGGCACCTCTGAGCTGCTTTTGGAGTGTCCTGGGCACCTCTGGGCTGGCTCTGGCTTGCTTTGGAGGTGTCCTGGCAGCCTGGGGCTAGCTCTGGGTTATTTTGCAGTGCCCTGGGCTGGCTCTGGTCAGGTTTTGCAGTGCCCTGTCTCAGCCCGGGTTGTTTTGCAGTGCCTTGGACAGCCCTGTCTCACTCTGGTCAGGTTTTTCAGTGCCCTGGGCTCACTCTGGTCAGGTTTTACAACTCCCTGGGCTCACCCTGTGCTGTTTTTCAGTGCCCTGGACAGTCCTGGGCTCACCCTGGTTTGGTTTGGCTCACTCTGGTCAGGTTTTTCAGTTCCCTGGGCTGGCTCTGGTCAGGTTTTACAATTCCCTGGGCTCACTCTGGTCAGGTTTTTCAGTTCCCTGGGCTCACTCTGGTCAGGTTTTACAATTCCCTGGGCTCACTCTGGTCAGGTTTTTCAGTTCCCTGCACTCACTCTGGTCAGGTTTTGCAGTGCCCTGGGCTGGCTCTGGTCAGGTTTTACAATTCCCTGGGCTCACCCTGTGTTGTTTCTCAGTTCCCTGGGCTGGCTCTGGTCAGGTTTTTCAGTTCCCTGGGCTGGCTCTGGTCAGGTTTTACAATTCCCTGGGCTCACTCTGGTCAGGTTTTACAATTCCCTGTCTCACCCCGTGCTGTTTTGCAGTGCCCTGGACAGCCCTGGGCTCACTCTGGTCAGGTTTCTCAGTTCCCTGGGCTCACTCTGGTCAGGTTTTACAATTCCCTGTCTCACCCCGTGCTGTTTTGCAGTGCCCTGGACAGCCCTGGCCGCCTGGACGAGGAGCACCGGCTCATCGCCCGCTACGCCGCGCGCTTGGCCGCCGAGGCCGGCAGTGCTGTGAGTGCCCCGGGGGGCTGGGGGACACCGGGGGGCTCCGGGGACACCACGGGGGGCTGGGGGACACCTCGGGGGGCTGGGCTCCCAAAGCTGCCCGAAATCCCAAATTTCTGCTGGCAACGAGGCCAGGGCAGGGGGGAGAGGGGAGATGGGCGCTGCTCAGGCTGCAGAGAGAGAAACGTGAGGAAAACAAATCCTGGCCGAGTGCTGGGGGTGGATTTGTTCCAGAGGGAAGCAGCCTGGGAGAGGGAAAGGTGGGCTTGTGCTTGCAGCTGCTGGCAGGGGAGGATAAAGGATAAATCTCTCCAGTCAGTAAAAATCAGCCCTGCTGTGACACGGAATGGCTACAGGAGCACAGCCGGGGTTTGCTGACATTCCAGGGAATTTCTGCAGCCTGGGAGCCCTGTCTTGGCTGCTTTACCCACAGGGAAGGAGAGCAGGAGCATCTCCCACCTTCTGAGTTCCCCCCGGGCAGAGGGACGTGGGCAGATCTCTGTGAAACCCTTCAACCCATGCTGGGACATCTGCATGTGTCACTTCCCCTCCCTCTGCCCAGGGCTGGCCCTCCACAGTCACTCCACTCACCAGGAACGTGGAAATATCAAGGGCACAGTGCCAGGTTTCAGGTTGAGGTGGGAAAGGAGGAAATTTCCACGTATTCCTGTAAAACCCAGGCTGTTGAGACAGCAAGGGCTGAGTCACTGTCACGCTGGAAGGTGCTGGAAGAGCTCTTAGTCACGGCCTGACTTCTTCTGGTACAGACAAAGTGTTATGAAAACTGGATTGTTTCTGAGGGGACCTGGTTGTTAAAAACCCAGAAATCACCTCAAACCCTTGTGTGGCCACGGCAGGGCCTGGAGTGGAGGCGTTCTCTGGGTGTCCAGGAGCAGCACCTGGAGTTTGCTGAGGCTCCTCAAGCCTGAGGGAAATCCCTGTTCCCAATCCCATCCCAAAGAGATGCTGGAGCAGTGCCAGGGGCTGCTGGGGCAGAGGAGGGAGGGAAAAGGGAATAATGGGGGGTTCTGTGCAGGCAGGGCTCGGGTCTGGCAGCCTGGAGCTGGTCATGGCCCCAGCACTCGCTCCCAGCCCGGAAAAACCAGGGAATCAGCTGGGACAGGAGGATTTGTCACAGGCTGGGGGAGCCCGAGCTCCAAGGGCTTGGGATCCTGGCAGCTCCTCCTGCTCCCAGCTCCTGTCCTGGCCACGGCAGCCTGGTGGGGGGATTGTCACGGGGACAGTCCTGCTGAGCTCTGGGACGGGTGACAGCCCTGGGGACAGCGTGACATGTGCATGGGGACAGCGTGACATGTGCATGGGGACAGTGGGACATGTGCATGGGGACAGCGTGACATGTGCATGGGGACAGTGGGACATGTGCATGGGGACAGGGTGACACATCTGTGGGGACAGCGTGACATGTGCATGGGGACAGGGTGACATGTGCATGGGGACAGGATGACATGTGCATGGGGACAGGGTGACATGTGCATGGGGACAGGATGACATGTGCATGGGGACAGCGTGACATGTGCATGGGGACAGTGGGACATGTGCATGGGGACAGCATGAAATGTGCATGGGGACAGCGTGACATGTGCATGGGGACAGTGGGACATGTGCATGGGGACAGCGTGAAATGTGCATGGGGACAGCGTGACATGTGCATGGGGACAGTGGGACATGTGCATGGGGACAGCGTGACATGTGCATGGGGGACAGGGTGACATGTGCATGGGGACAGCGTGACATGTGCATGGGGACAGCGTGACATGTGCATGGGGACAGTGGGACATGTGCATGGGGACAGTGGGACACATCTGTGGGGACAGTGGGACATGTGCATGGGGACAGTGGGACACATCTGTGGGGAATGAGGAATTGTTCCCTGGCAGGGTGGGCAGGCCCTGGCACAGGGAGCTGTGGGGCTGGCAGCAGCCCCTGCATGCAGGGAGGGCTGGTGGGACTGGTGTGATGGTGTGATTTCTGTGATTCTGTGATTTCTGTGTCTGTGTTCCCTGTGATTTCAGTGATTTCTGTGACTGATTCCCTGTGATCTCTGTGATTTCTGTGACTGTGTTCCCTGTGATTTCTGTGATCTTTGTGTCTGCTTCCCTGTGATCTCTGTGATTTCTGTGTCTGATTCCCTGTGATTTCTGTGTCTGATTCCCTGTGATCTCTCTGTCTGATTCCCTGTGATTCTGTGATCTCTGATTCCCTGTGACCTCTGTTTCCTGCCCTTCCTGAGGTTCTCTCTGCTCTCTCCCCAGCCCCGTCCTCCTGCAGATCTGCCCTTCAGCTTCGATGCCAACAAGCAGCAGAGGCAGCTGATAGCAGAGCTGGAGAACAAGAACAGGTACAGCCCCTGCTGCCCCCCTGGCACATCACCCACACTGCTTCCCTGCTGCTCTCGGGTGTAGCTGCCTCATTAACTCATTAGTTAGTCATTAACATCAGTTAATTAGCCGTGGGGAGGGGCTGCCCTGCCCCTGCTCCCCAGGGTGGGTGATCTTCTCTAATCTTCTTAAAATCACCTTCTCCATCACTGAGCACATCCAGCAAACCTCAGAGCTGGGATCTCACCCCAGAAACCCCTGAAACCCCCAAACCCCCATCCTGGGCTGCTCCCCCAGCAGGGCAGGGGGATTCTGTCCCTGTGCCCAGCTGAGAGCCCACCTGCAGAGCTGCCCCAGCCCTGGGGATTCCAACAGCACAAGGACCTGGAGCTGCTGGGAGAGCCCAGAGGAGACCCCAGAGCTGCTGCAGGGCTGGAGCCAGGCTGGGAGAGCTGGGGGGGCTCACCTGGAGAGGAGAAGGATCCAGGGAGAGCTCAGAGCCCCTGGCAGGGCCTGGAGGGGCTCCAGGAGAGCTGCAGAGGGACTGGGGACAAGGATGGAGGGACAGGAGCCAGGGAATGGCTCCCAGTGCCAGAGGGCAGGGCTGGATGGGAGATTGGGAATTGGGAATTGTTCCCTGGCAGGGTGGGCAGGCCCTGGCACAGCTGGGGCTGCCCCTGCATCCCTGGCAGTGCCCGAGGCCAGGCTGGACACTGGGGCTGGAGCACCCTGGGACAGTGGGAGGTGTCAGGGGACACTGGATGGGCTCTGAGATCCCTTCCAAAGCCAGCCAGAGGATTTTTGTTGCTCCAGAGGCTCTCCTGTGGAGCCCCCCAGGCTCTGCTGGTACCTGGGGTGCCCCGTGCCCAGCCCTGTGCCCGGGCACCCTCAGCAGTGGGACAAGGCAGCTCCAGGGCCCTTTGGAGCAGGAGCAGCTCAGTCCTGGCCCCGCTGCAGGCTCAGTGCTGCAGCAGGAGCCCTGGCAGGGCTTTGGGATGGTTCCTGGGCTCCTGGCTCAGGGAGGTCTCAGTGCTGCTGCAGTGCTGCCAGCAGAGCAGTTGTGCAGCAAGAGGTGACTCTGCTCTTGGGAGGGTTCCAGCCCTGCTGCTGCCCTGCAGGGGAAGGGCCCTGGCTGTGCCAGAGCTGCTCCTCAGCCTCCTGGGGCTGGAGCTGGAGCCTCTGTCCTCCTCTATCAGGAGATCTCTGAGCCTTTTCTGTCAGGGGCTGGAGAGGCATTGCAGGGGGGATGCCATCCTTGGGCAGTGAGGGATGGTCCAGGCCCTGCAGGGCTGTGCCCACATCCTGTCCTGGCCTGGAGCTGTGCCCCCACCCCTGCCCTCGCCAGGCTGTGCCCACCCTCCTGTCCTGGCTGTGCCCACATCCCTGTCCAGGCTGTGCCCACACCCGTGCCCATGCCAGGCTGTGCCCACACCCGTGCCCATGCCAGGCTGTGCCCACATCCCTGTCCAGGCTGTGCCCACACCCGTGCCCACACCAGGCTGTGCCAGGGCTCCATCAGGAGCAGAGCCCCGGGGCTGGGCTGGCATTCCAGGAACTGCAGGACGTTCAGGAGCATTCAGGGTGTGAGGAGCACCTGCAGCCTCCTGTGGGACAGTGACACTTCAGGGAAGGACAGCAGGGAGCAGGCCCTCAGAGCAGGGGCTGGCAGTGCCAGCCGGGGGTCGGGCACAGAGCCCCAGCAGGACAGGGCTGCTGGGGGACCCCCCGAGCTGGTTGTGTCCCAGCCTCAGCCTCGTCCCTCGCTCACGGCAAGGTGCCAGCAGCTCTCGCCCCGGCAGCACACACAGAGCTCAGAGTCACTCCCTTCACCATTTTCTGAGCAGTCCCAGCACCCACAAGCACATGGCAGCAGTTCTGCCCAGGCACTGCCAGCACACCTCCCTTTGTGCTTGCTGGTTCAGTGCACATTCCACACGCACTCGCATTCCTGCGTGTTCACGTGTGTGCATTCATGTTCACGTTGTGTTTTCAATGCAAGACCTGCTCCTAAGCCTTCAGTGCCCAGAGCTCTGTTATTAACTTAGGCCTCCCTAACACCTCCCTGGACCTCCCTAGATCTCCCTAGATCTCCCTAGATCTCCCTAGATCTCCCTAGATCTCCCTAGATCTCCCTAGATCTCCCTAGATCTCCCTAGATCTCCCTAGATCTCCCTAGATCTCCCTAGATCTCCCTAGATCTCCCTAACATCTCCCTAGACCTCCCTAACATCTCCCTAGATCTCCCTAACATCTCCCTAGACCTCCCTAACATCTCCCTATTCTTTCCAACTCCCCCGAATATCCCGTGATTTTAGGAACACTTTATCCCTACACCATCAGCCATTTCACTTAATTACCAGCAGGAATAAAAACCCTATCTTAATGGCTTTAACACCACACGTGAATCCATGTGGACGTCTGTGAAAAGCCAGTGTTTAATTAATGTGTGTCTGTAAATGACCTGTGGAAACCCGGAGCACCGGGAATATTTCTGTCTGCTCTGGGCTGCCCTGACTCCCAGGGCAGCACTGACTCTGACCCTCGTTCATGGAGAAAGTTTCCTAGACTCCAAGGCAGACTGGAATCCACAAAAGTGTGAAATAGATTACAGAGAGCAGTGTAGGTGTATCACTTGGTGAGAAATGTAGGGATTGTTGGTGGGTTGTGGATGGAAGCAAGATGCAGGGCACAGGGAGTTGTCCTGGGTTTCTGCTTCGTGCTCCTTCCTCCTTCTTCCTCACTGCACTCCATGATCTCAGAGGTCTCTTCCAGCCTCACTATTCTGTGATCCTGTCATTCCGTGGGTTTGGGTGGCATTTTGTAATTGGGCAGAAAAGTCCACATGGCAGCTCTTTGGGTTACAAGGGAAAATAATCCGTTCTTAATTGGATAGTTTATCTTAAAAGACCTCGTAACAGGAGATTGTTGGCCGCTTTTGTGGTGCTGAGCCCGGTGTGGGCAGCGTGCAAAACTTTAGATAAGATAACAATAAACAAGAACCTGAAGACTGAAAACATGCAGCGTGTCTCTCTTTGCTGACACAAACCTGCTCCAGGAGGGTCTCCCAGGACAGGGGAGCCCCCTGAGAGAGCCCAGCCTGAGCCCCAGAAGTCAGGTGTGAGAAATGCCAAGCACTTGTTTTTAAAATTTTAAATGTTTAATAGTAATAAAATTAGTAATATCATTAGAGTAATAATAATTTGGATAATTGGGATTTAGGACAATAGGAGACAATCAAAACAAAGAGTTACGGACAGTCCAGGTACCTCTTTCTGGGCAAAATAAGCCCGAAAAAGGACCCCCATTAACAGAGGATTAACCCTTAAAAGCAACAGCCTGTTGCATGTTCATACACCTCACACATGATGCACGAATTCCATTCAAACACAGGATTCTGTCTGGTCAGTGTCAGCTTCTTCCTCTGAATCCTGATGGCCTCTCCAGGGCTGAGCGAGGTGGGAAGAAGTTCGTTTTCTTCTGATGAGGGAGCAATAAATTCTTTTTCTTTGAAGGATTCAGGTGTGCTGTCTCAGTGAGAGTGCCTCACTCCTCTCTTTAAGACAGCATCTTCCACAGCATAGTTTCTATTTTCACGTTGTGTTATAACCCAGAGCTGTATTTAAGAAAATTGGTACAGCACAACTTTCTGGCACGTCACGTACACCGTTCCGCGCGCTGTTTGCCGAAAGCCGGCGTTGTGGCCCGGCTGAGCTGTCCTTTCCCGTGCCGCAGGGAGATCCTGCAGGAGATCCAGCGCCTGCGGCTGGAGCACGAGCAGGCCTCGCAGCCCACGCCCGAGAAGGCGCAGCAGAACCCCACGCTGCTGGCTGAGCTGCGCCTGCTGCGGTAACGGCACCGGGGAACCGGGGAACCGGGGTGGGGTACTGGGGTACGGGGGTACTGGGATACCGGGGTACCGGGATGGGGTACTGGGGTACCGGGGTACTGGGATACCGGGGAACCGGGGTACCGGGGAACCGGGGTGGGGTACTGGGGTACCGGGGTACTGGGATACCGGGGTACCGGGGTGAGGTACTGGGATACTGGGGTGGGATACCGGGGAACCAGGGTGGGGTACTGGGGTACCGGGGAACCGTGGTACTGGGATACTGGGGTACTGGGATACCGGGGAGGGGTACTGGGGTACTGGGGTACTGGGATACCGGGGAGGGGTACTGGGGTACTGGGGTACTGGGAGGGAACCGAGGTGGGGTACTGGGATACTGGGGTACCGGGGTGAGGTACTGGGATACTGGGGTGGGATACCGGGGAACCAGGGTGGGGTACTGGGGTACCGGGGAACCGTGGTACTGGGATACTGGGGTACTGGGATACCGGGGAGGGGTACTGGGGTACTGGGGTACTGGGATACCGGGGAGGGGTACTGGGGTACCGGGGTACTGGGATACCCGGTACTGGGGTACCGGGTGAGGTACTGGGATACTGGGGTACGGGGGTGGGTACTGGGATACTGGGGTACTGGGATACTGGGGTACTGGGATGGGATACTGGGGTACCAGGGTACCAGGGTGGGATACTGGGGTACTGGGGTACTGGGGTACTGGGATACCAGGGTACCGGGATGGGATACCGGGGTACTGGGATACCAGGGTACTGGGATACTGGGGTACTGGGATACTGGGGTACTGAGATACTGGGGAACTGGGATGGGATACTGGGGTACTGGATGGGATACTGGGGTACCGGGATGGGATAATGGGATACCGGGGTACCAGGGTGGGATACTGGGGTACTGGGATACTGGGGTACCGGGGTGGGGTACTGGGATACTGGGGTACTGGGATACCAGGGTACCGGGCTGGGATACCGGGGTACTGGGCTGGGGTACTGGGATACTGGGGTACCGGGGTGGGGTACTGGGATACTGGGGTACCAGGGTGGGATACCAAGATGGGATACTGGGATACTGGGTACTGGGCTGGGATATTGGGATACCAGGGTACGTGGATGGGATACTGGGATACTGGGGTACCGTGGTGGGGTACCGGGATGGGATACTGGGATACTGGGCTACCGGGATGGGCTACCAGGGTATCGGGATGGGGTACCGGGGTACCGGGGTGGGGTATCAGGGTACCAGGGTACTAGGATGGGATACCGGGGTACCGGGATGGGATACTGGGGTACCGGGGTGGGGTATCAGGGTACCAGGGTACTAGGATGGGATACCGGGGTACCGGGATGGGATACTGGGGTACCGGGATGGGATACCGGGGTACTGGGATGGAATACCGCGATACCAGGATGGGATACAGGGATAGGAGACTGGGATGGGATACTGGGTTACCGGGATGGGATACTGGGGTACCAGGGTACTGGGGTACTGGATGGGATACTGGGATGGGATACCGGGGTACTGGAGCACCAGGGTATTGGGATGGGATACTGGGGTGCTGGGATACCAGAGCACTGGGGTACTGGGATGGGATACTGGGATGGGATACTGGGGTACTGGGATACTGGGATGGGATACTGGGGTACCGGGATACTGGAGTACTGGGGTACCAGGGTACCGGGATGGGATACTGGGATGGGAGACTGGGATGGGCTGCTGGGTTACCAGGATGAGATACTGGGATACCGGGATGGGATACAGGGATACCGGGGTACTGGGATGGGATACTGGGGTACCAGGATGGGATACTGGGATACTGGTATACGGGATGGGATACTGGGATACCGGGATGGGCTACCGGGCTGTGGAGCAGGGCTACCAGACTACCAGGCTGGGCTGAGAAAACACCTTCAGTGCCCTGAGAAAACACCTTGACTCCCCTGAGAAAACACCTTGACTCCCCTGAGAAAACACCTTGAGTCCCCTGAGAAAACACCTTGACTCCCCAGTGCAAACACCTTCACTCCCCTGAGAAAACACCTTGACTCCCCAGTGCAAACACCTTGACTCCCCAGTGCAAACACCTTGACTGCCCTGTGCAAACACCTTGACTCCCCGGTGCAAACACCTTCACTCCCCGGTGCAAACACCTTCACTCCCCGGTGCAAACACCTTCACTCCCCGGTGCAAACACCTTCACTCCCCGGTGCAAACACCTTCACTCCCCGGTGCAAACACCTTCACTCCCCGGTGCAAACACCTTCACTCCCCGGTGCAAACACCTTGACTCCCCAGTGCAAACACCTTTACTCCCCAGTGCAAACACCTTGACTCCCCAGTGCAAACACCTTTACTCCCCAGTGCAAACACCTTGACTCCCC